AAAAAATTTCAATTAAAACATCTTCGATCAATCGAAGCCTCGATACAATTATATTTATAGTAGCGACAATTATCAAACGGGTAAGCATTACGCGTTTCAGTGAGAATGCAAAATTGTTTTAATTGCGAATAAATGAAAATCAACATTTTTGTTTTCTTGCAAAAAAAAATCATATAAAGAAGAAGAGAAAGCAGAGAGGAGAAAAAGTGCTAGATTTTGTCTCCTGACGAAACCTGAAAGAAACTACGCAGTCTACTAATTTGCATAAATCGCAACAACGAGCGCGAATGGTCGGCGCTTCGCACTTCGCTAACTACTCGCTTAGTATAGGCCACGAAACACCGTGGAAGCAGAGATCTTTATGGCGGTGATAAACCTGATCTCTCGCCAGCTTCGAGTTACAAATGACTACTGGTAGCTAAAAACTATTGCCTCGCGGTTCTATACACAGAGTACTCACCGCATCTCTCCTTTGTACCTACAGATTCTTTTGCAAATTCCTGCACAACGCTCTTCGCTTAACGAAAGTTGTGCAGAAGGTCATTTATTTCCCAATAATTTTATCACGTTCCAAATTAAACGTTTTTGTAACCGACTACTAACTCAAGTTAAAATGTTCGAATAAAAATTCTGAAAACATGGAATCTATTTAACTTAAAATAACTTTTAAATTAAATAAAACAGAATATTTTTTTATACACAATACTGATTTTTTAAAAATTCGATTTTTAACTTAAAAATTCCTCGTGTTCAATAGAATACAATTGTTTAGTTAGTGGGACTTGAAATTTTTATAAGAAAAATTATTTTCAATTTTAGATTCAATATCAAAAACCTGATATACTATGTATATACGCGCGAAGACTCACGCACTTTCTGATTCAAACCTCGTGTTTTCTATCCTCTTTTATCTCTTCGTTGTTCTCTTCCACATTCGTTGACCCTACTAGGAGCAAGTCCACGCAGCTGGTTAGACGCGTGAAATAGAACCACTCGTAAATCCTCGTAACGTCTAACCATCCCTTTCCAACTTTTCCCGAATCCCTCGCATCCTTTCGCGCCTTCTACGTAGCTGCGACGAGTTTGCGAAAATCATCAGGATAGTAATTGTTATTAAATAGCTGACGTTATGATCCGAACGGCAGCATAAAGCTTAATTAATAGCGCGAGCCAGACGTATGCGAAACAGTTTTATTTTTTCATGCATTTATCTAAAAATAATTTATACGTTTTTATTATTGATAAAAGTTAATCTTCCCACAATCAAGCCGAAATATTTTTACGATAAATGAAAAGTGAACTAAACATATATCCGAATATTCGTTCCCGCCGCAAATACGGTTAATAGTCATTTCGGTGTGCATAAAATCTATGTGCGACGCGAATCCGGCTTTATCCATCCCTATTGGCTGACATATCAACGACCGACCGCGCATAATTAATAACATATATCGCAAGAGGCATGCGGAAGCAGCAACGGCGGAAATACAAATACGTTTAATGAACATGAAATGGAATTCGATATGACTATGAAGTAGCGACGTGGTGGAGGTCGAGCGCGAGCGCTTTGACGCATTTTGCGGACAACGATGATAGAGACGAGCAAGACAACGCATATTTATCATTAATAGAGTCTATAGAGTCTAGTGAGCCCCTAAAAATTATTATGATAATTGTAATTTTCGATAGAAACATTTACATTTCTAGTTGCGGATTCCAATCATTTTGTATAATTCTAATTGTCTCGTTACAATTGCATAATTTACAATTTACAACGTAAAGCATCACTTGTTTACAGTGATATACAGATGATATTAAATCGATGCAGTATTATGTTAGAAAGACGATATTACATTTGAAAAAAAAAGTCATTTAACCATCAACGTAAGAGGAAAAGAAACCTTCCGATACAAAAAGTGGAGACAAGGGTGTAAACTAAAACGCCACGGAAATTAATTGCTAAGACCTCTCCATTCTTAACTGGAGCGAATAGCACCATCCGTAGCCGGGGTGAGTACCTCTTCGATTGAACGGAAAAATTGACGTCGTGGACGATGTATAAAACACTACAATAACGGATGTCACGGTCTATTTAATATCCGGCCGATAAGGAATTTTCACAATGCATACGCGTCATGAATGAATGATCGTACACAAATAGGAAAAAAACTCTAAAACATAATAGTATATTGATTATTTTATCGCGATATGAAAAAGAGAATAAACATGTTTCTTTATAAAGATTCTTATTTAACATACTAGGACTAATACGATTAAAACTATGATTCGGATAATATATGATCGTCAAGAGAAAAGTTACAGTATCGTAACAAGTTTTGCTCTGAACAGCAATTTGTTTTTTTTTTTTTAGAAATGAAAGGGCCGTGGAATTTAAAGACGGCAGCGCTGTGTTACGTTAGAAAGACGATATTGCATAAAAGTATCTATTGATTTGAGATATAGCGTCGCGGAAGAAAAGAGGACGACGACGACGACGACGACGACGACGACATTATGAGAGTTGGAGGATAGAACAGGAGGCGTCGCTCTGTCGAACGAAAGCCGGTGAAGGCAGAGAGAAGCGCGATGTAATAAAGCGAGCCGTGAACGAAGCACGCATCGAGGAGGCAACAGCCACCGTTACAGTTACGGCCTTCTTCGATTTCAAGGGGTCGGCAAGATCGGGCTGCTTACGCAATACTCGTCGTCGACTCGTTGCTTCGTTATAAGGGTGCAGCGAAATCGAGTAATCGCGTTTCCGTGACCGTCACGCGCGTTTCCTCGCTTACGGAAGCTTAACGAAAGCGGCTCTCTTGGAATAAATTAAACGTGCAATTAAATCCCAGGACACAGTTGATATCGCATTACGATTGATTGTAAAGCCAAAATCCATTCCTACTTTTTCCTGATGAACATTCCATTCTCGTCTGTTTCTATCGGAAAGATTACGGAGTAAAGCCAAACTTTTCATAATACTGAAACGTCTATTACATTCTCTCTACTTTTATACATACTGAATAAAATAAGTAGGTAGTAAAATCTATAATACTACATATGTAGTAAAATGTACAATCAAGTATGTCTAACATCAATTTTCTAATAGCATATTATTAGAATAGGATATTAATTTCATAAACTCATGTAACTATGTTACTTACATTCTTCTTGATATAACATTTTATATATTTATAAAATGAAATTAATAGTTGAAGTTTTAATACGTGAATGATAAAATAGCAAGAGTAAGAGTTATTGTAATTGCGTGACGAGAAAAAATAGGTGCGGCATTCCAGGGGTTAACGAACACATGTTACATGTATGTCTTCCATTTACATTATATGTCACTGATTATCCAACATTATTGATATTTTCTTAAAACCTATATCTTTTTTTATTCTAAACATTTACTCTTTTACTTTTTATATATAAATTAAAATATTTTACAAAACGGTCATATTCGGAATATATTCGATGTGTAAGAGAGTAGTATTTTGACTATCCCTTGAATGCTGTAACAAAATGCATCATAGAGAGAACATGAAGTCAACCAATCAGGGCTACCGTGGCCACCGGCTGGCCAGACGGTTCGACGGTAATTGGCCAGTAATTGTGTTTACTAATTGATATTACGACCTTACCGGTTGTGCGTAACTCGAGCACACCCCTGACGATATCGGAAAATTTATCGTGACATGTTTGCTATCGAAGAAAGCGTAGCGAGTCGATATGGTGTATATGTGTATCTTTCTACAAACTTTTATACTTAAATTTTAATTAAGTTTTTAAAAAATCTATTCAAGTAGTGTTCTTGTATACAATCATGTATGTGTGTAATTTAAAAGAAACCTATCTAATAATTAAATTAATAATACTGTTTAAAAAAATAATGCACGTCAAAAAATATAACGTATATAAACTACTGGAACTTCTTTGCAGTATAATTAGAGACAAGAATTACTTGTGTCTTCTAAAAATAATTTAATTATAAAATTTACAAAGTTGCGCCTTGAAGAAATAAAATTGTATATTTTAACAAATTATAAGAAATGAAATCCATTTCTCTAAAAATAAAAGTTTCATGGAATAAAAAAAATATATATTTCTTTTAAAATATATGAATTAAATTAAAAATTCATATTTTAAATTTGTTTGACCAAAAATGCATCTCCTTGGTACAAAGATATTTAATTTGTATTCAAGAAAAAAGCTTTACATTATATTATCGCTTTTACACATCCATAAAGTGATCCGCAAGCGCGCGATCAAGGTGCAGCGATTTCTATTCCGATCACGTACGAAGCTTCGATCAATAAAACTTTGCCGACTTCCAGAGACCACGCAGACGATTCTACGTTCCTGAGGGAGAATAAGGACCCCTTGAATAGGAATCGAAGCGATCGCGGAAGAGTATGTCAAAATTCATTTTATCGCACTACTATCGCTTAACGCTCCATTTCATCTTTGTAAAATTTGTTCGCATCAAATTTGGATTCCACTTTACAAGACGCGTTGCGTCTTGTAAAAGATCAATATCAAACAGTATTAAATACTCAATTTTATCTTATTTATATACACAAAAAATATAACAAATAAGTCAATGATCTAACTCATATTTCGTTTCAAATTAGAAAAGTAAGTAGGATTCTTAATTTATCGTAAAAAATAATTTAGAAGCAATAATTCGTTACTATATTAATTACTTATTTTCGCTTGATATGGACAATAATTATAAAGATGAATAAATGTTCAATAAAGAGTATTAAATACAGATATAAAAAATCGATTGTTGAATTATTTTCAAAAGGAAGAAGTAATAACAAATAACCTATCTGTATGTGTATTGTAATTGAATTAATAAAGGATACAAATGATATGATAAATTTACAATAGTATGATGAGGCAGATGAATTTTTCATTGCACTTTTAATATCTTATAATAAAATAAGAACTGGAAAAATCGGGAAATTGTGAGAGGATTGCCGTAACTTCGTCGCAATATGTTGGTTAGAATAGATTTTTAATTTTGCGAATTCCTTAATTATTTCTACAGTTACTTTTAAAGCCAAATGGTCTGGTTAGGTCGGGCCAATACCATACCGCGACCAATCTCGTGCCTGTAATTGGAAAAGGTTGTGGGGGTTGCAGGTTGTCTTCCTTCATTGCGAGACAGTGGTAGGAGGTGTAGTTCAATCCCCTCTAGCAGTTCTCGGTAAATAAAATTCCGCTTACCATATATAGCTATTGCCCTACTGTATTTAACTCTATCTCACATTTTGTGCATCTTACTCTAATTATTTTCAAAATCTTCTCTTTTCTTTTCTGCCTGAGATTTTCGTTTGTACAAAAAAAAGTTTCAAAATGATTCTTTACTAACGAATGTTTACACTGAAAGAAAAATTGCTTGCTGCAACACTTTAGATAGTAAAATATGGCATAGCATTTTTACTATCTAAATTGTTGCAGCAACCAATCTTTTTTTTCAGTATATAAATAATATTTAAGTTAAACTATTATAGGTAATGATTGATCAATTTATATTGTTATGATTTCGCGGTGTTCTCCGTATTTATTTCTTTTTCTCGATAGTATTATTTTTAACAGTCTTATGTAAGAGAATGTGACAATTTTGCGTAATTGTAAAAAGTATTTATTTGTATATACTCACATATCAGAAGAAGTCGCGACAAGAGGTTGTGAAGTGATACCTAAAACAAAATTACAGATAATTAAATGAGGATACTGTATTGAACTGAAATAATATAAATGCATCACGTAAAAGATATAAAATACCTTTTTAATAAAGATAAGATATAAAAAAGGTATGTTGGAAGTTTATCGCGTTGGAAGTTTACGCAAAGTTTTGTCGTAATACAATGCTTTCGATATCGACGATTTAAGTTAATATCGGACGCAAGAGCATGATGCATTTTGGTAGCGAGCCTAGTAATATGTATCTCATCGTTACGTCGGCGACACGGCATATACGCGCGCGAAAACGATATTTCACACACAGTTTGATGAGCTCCCCGCATTAAGCCGGGGGTAAGTAATTATCGACTGAGCAGTGACCAGGATGGCTGGGCTCGGCCACTCCCTCCTGGGGTGTCCCAGTGCGTGTCACCGCATTAACCACCCCTATACGGACATCGTTCTCATCAAAGTTCAAACGCTGCATATCTCCGATACGTCATTGTAACCTCTGCACGGCTTAATTAACGAGACCGGACGTAGCGTCGTGGACAAGTATTAGTTTACTTCGATATCCGTGTCGCCTCCGAAAATCACGTTACGGATACAGCTTCATGATCTCCGGCATGGAGAAAAATTGAGTGTAATAACAGATAAGTAGATAAATTCGTCATTTGCGCAATATATCATATCATCATTTTCATCATTAATAATCATGCCTTTACGTAGGTATAAATAAGTGTATGAATTTATCGACAAAACGTGTTTATCAATTATTTTGATTGACAAATAATAGTATTAAAACTTGTAAAAAACAAAGTAGAGTGCAATAAAATTACTATAAAGAATAGATATATCAAAGAGAATATGCTGATATGGTTATGCTCGCATTGCTCGCAGATATTTATCGATATGATATAATAATTAATCATGCAACATTTTAAACATTTTCATTTATATATACGTATATATAGTCTTAGGGCATATAGTGATATCAATTTAATTAAAAGGGTCTTACTCAACGAATAAACATAACGGAAGCATGACAGGGGGAAAAAGTTAATACATGAAACAGGGATTGTACGCACGAGACGCTAACTCGTGCTAATAACCGTATGCAATTAATAAAATTGGGTACACGAAAATCCCGGATAAAGCCGCCGTTACACAAATTGCATGAAAATGTTATTTTATCGATAATGTTATCGTAACATCAATAAAACATTATCAACATTAATTTCCTTGCGTTAAATCGTTGAATTTGATACTTCGTAAATTTTCGATTATACAATGTCAATGCATATAAATTTGCGCAGTAAAAAATTTTTTTAATTATCGAGAAAAATGTCACAATATCTTGAGTTATATAAGTTTCAAATATTCAGAAAAGAATAATACACACGCGAACATCTTAAATGTATATGATATAATAATATAGATATAACGTAATCTATACATAAATGCATATATTATGTTATTAAATATCTTTCTCCCATCTGATATTTATGTACAATCTTTCCGATGTGTTATCGACACACATATAATATCATTATTATATCACTATATAGTATAATTTCTTATAATGACCCAAATACTTGCAAATTGACTTACATTTTTTAAGATTTACACGTACAACTGTAACACGACAATATATTCCGATAATTAGAAATAAACGATATTTTTTAGGCTTCTCATTTGACGAGGACTCAAAGAATAAACTTTCGAGTTGAGCGAGAAACGGGATTTGATGCGGGTAAGATCGATACAGAAGTCATGTTGAGACTATTTCACCGATTTGGCCTGTAACATCGTTAAACTTCGAGGGTAGAGCACTCTTTTCTCCCTCGTGACTCGCAATCAGTCGATTCTCGACGGTGCGACGTCCAAAGCTTCCTTTCAAATTACCACCGAGAGAACGATCTGGTCGCCAGAATCAACCATCTTTCCTCTATACTTGCCGGAAAAAGAAAGATTAGAAAAAAATCAGTGATATTGGAACCAAGAACTTGCGTGTCTTTGAAGAATCTCGTAAATCATATGATGTGAGCCGAGTTTTACAATTTGCATTAATTAAATTCACATTAGCTCATTTTTCAAAGTATACGTACAATTATAAGATTATTCAATCGAAATAAATTTCTTTCAATGTCTTCATAAACATTGCATCTCTTCAAGTTATGCTTTTGTCCTTGATATAAAATCCGTAAAAAATTACAAGTTCGTCTCTCTCGAGATCGTCTTTTTATCAGCTAATAACATCGACGCGACGCTATATCCGAATATCCACTTGCTTTGAGCCGCGACGAGATCCACAATATTAGTTCCTCTCTCGGTAGACGTAACAAACGCGGGTAGGGGTTATTTTATTCCTCTGTTCCACGTGCGGGAGCGAAGAAAGAAACTAAAGGCTCGCGGCGAAGCGAGGCAAGGTGGAACGGGACGAGAGAGGAGAGATCGGCACAGGAGGACATTATGAAAGCATTTTCCTAACCGACTGGCAAAGCCCCGAAGACATTTATCCCGCGAAAAATGAAGTAAAATAAATGTAATGTAAAAGGCAAACCGCGATGTCGGTACCAAAGAGTGCGGTAGTGTGCCGGCGCAGGTAGAGCCTCCGTTTCTCTATCTCCGCTTCTGCGAAGTCTCCGACTTGTTTTCGTGCTCTCCTTGCAGCGCGCGGGGACGAAGGGCGATTTTCCGCGAGCTGGTACAAGGAGTAACGGAAAATGAAGAAACGGCTGACGACGGGATGAAAAGAAGGGAAGGTAACGGGGGGGGGGAGGGGGGGGCGAATCTTCAACGACTCGCCTTGTCTCGTCAAGGATGCTCGTTCCTCCTCCTCCTTGTCCCTATCTGCGCCCACAAAGATTTTTCCTTCTTCGGCACTCGTCCTTCTTTATACCTCTTTCAATATGCTCTTCGAACCCTCCACCGACCGCTTGCACCGATCACGGAGCTTCACTTCTCAACTTGACATTTTTAATTCTTTTTTTACTTCTTCCATGTAATCGTCTTATGAGAGAGCAACCAAAGCAACCGTTCGAGGAAAAACGTGCGATGAAATATGCCACGGACTGTCATCGGTTCCCTTACGACTTTCCTTTCCTATCTACTTTTCACCAGTCACGGGCTAGCGATCGTCCTCGGGACGACTCTTCGCTTTGTACTCACAGATTTGCTTCGTGGTCCACTGGAGATCGTTTTATAGTTTTCTACAGCGAAGAAAAAATTTCAAAAAACATATGCCGTACGAAAGCTAAAATAATGAGTTTCGCGAATTGTAGAATACAACGCGATATAATTAAATATGTACGTTGTTAGGTAGAGAAATGCGAATACTTACAGACCTCATTTTAATGCACGGTTTGCAGAAAGTAATTTGATTATGCATATCACTAATAATTTGTAATATTGAAAACTAAATTATTAAAAAATCAATATATTTAGAATCAAAATTTTAAAACAAATTAAATGATATATATAGAGGCTACGAGTCAATGCAGAACTCGACTTAAGAGCTAATAAATAAATTTTAATATTAAAATAATTTCAAATTATTAAATATTTATACAGGAATCGTTCTTGCAAAAGAATTAGTTTTTAATTAATTGATAATAATTTTTTTTTTTTATAAAAGACGTTGCAAATTATATGAAAAAGATGCTCGCCGTGCTTGTTCATGCAGTCGATTAGGTCCAGCTTCTGTTATCGACATTCGTAATATTCGATATTGAATTAACAAAAATACGATTATCCTATTAAATCAAGTATCCCGAAGAACACGAGGGAAAAACTATTGACGATAAGATGCCGCACTCTCTCGAAACGCAAGCGTAGTTGCAGTCAAACGGATCGGATCGGTTCGTAGGAACGACGATGTGGATTGAGGCGACCGGTGACTGCTGAAAGGAACCGTGGAAGGAAGGCAGGAAGATATTTACCAGCGTCTCCTCTTACAACCTCGGCAAACTTCAATTCCCCTTTTCCGCATCCTGGCTCCCTCGTATTTACAATCGGTTACCCGATGCCTAATCCGATGAGAGAGGAGAAGGGGACAGATTGTCGTGTCGTAATTTAAGGTGAACGAGAGGCACGAGAGGCACGAGGGAGGCGCAACGACGGAGTTCAACTCACGCTCGTCAAAGAGTGTCACGGAACGAAGTAGAAATTGCGAGGTTTCGTCAGCCGTCGCGCCCTACTGAATTTCGGTTACTTACCAATTGTCCCTTAGCATCGCGGAGAAAAACGATCCAAGTTATCGATTACCATTCGATTAGATTTCGGCATTCGATTAGAAATCGATGTAAAACATTGAGAATAAATAAATTGCTAAACACATTTGATGAAATTTCTGCTTTCATAAAGACTATTTGTAAAAATTGCATGTCTATGCATAGAAATATCGTTTTTTAAGAGATTTTATATATACGAAACTGTCAAAGAAAAGACGTGCAAAAGTAATCTGAGAGTCTATAGGAGGATCTGAATAAGCGAGGCGTGTTAAAGTCAGAAAATTGAAAATAATCCGCCACCGATGAGGATTCATGAATTTTCGGGAATAATTAGCGATACATGGCACGCCCCATCTGCATTTTGCTACGTGCCGCCAGAATGCCAGATCCATGATTTATTTTCGCACAAATGCGCACAATTAACGCAATTCCGGTATCAATCCAATATTTTGGCCGACACAATCTGATACACATGCGAGCAAGTATATTTTTGTTTATTTCCCTCTTCATGCCGCTCGCTGAACGATATTTGTAACGGTCTGTTACGCGTATGCGCATACGTTGTACGCCGGAATGCACTCGATAATTGCTACTATTTAAAATTGCATCTCCCGCCGCCTTTTTTTACAAATTTCGTGATAAATATCCAAACGGTGGCATTGCTTTATGCGGATTGGAATGTGTACCGCCAACCGATGATTTTTTTATGCAAAAATATGCAACGGATCATGGAGAAAAATATAATTCAAGCGATCGCGCACACCGACAGGATCCATACACGCGGA